TCGAAAATCATTCGAAGTTTCTTAATACTGTAAAGAGCTTTGGATAGGGCGCTATAGTAACAATAAATTATTTTTTTCTTCGTAGAGTAAAAATGCTTCAGTATTATTTCTTCAACTATTTGTATTTTTTCATATTATCTATATAGTAAAATTCTAAATGTAATTGGTTAAACGCAAAATTTTATAAGATGAATCTATCGTCGTTGATGCGGGAAGAACTTATTGACCGGCGCGGAAAATTGTACAGAAATAGTGGTGTTTCGATTCTAATCCAAAAACATGCTAGGGAAGCGGAGTGAACGCTGGTAAACCTTCATCTTGATGCAAGCCAAGCCCAGTACATTTTTCAAAATGTTTATATCGTTCCCATACACCGATTACCAGGTACTTTGCTCGAGTCTACTTTGCCACTTATAAACTATAGATTTCTGTTTCTAAGTTGACTTATTTCTCAGTTCCGTATTTTCATTAATTATATAAAAATGTGCCGACAAGTCATCATATCAAGGATTGATAGCGCTTCTTGATCATGATTTATTACATTATTACGCGTGTTTGGTATTTTTTTAAGAAAGAAATTTTATCATCGTAATTTGTTGTTTACAAGCTTAAAGCACAGTATGCATATAACTTCTTTCTTTCTTTCTTTCTTTCTTTCTTTCTTTCTCATATATAGTCCTATACATACGAAGTGTATGCACAAAACAGCAACCTAGAAGTAATCACTAGTTATCATGTTTTGCTCGGCAGTACTGTAGGATAAAGAAGATCCAATCTATTGTCTGTCAGATGATAACAGCATGTGTCAATGTGGTCAAGCCATGTTCGCTCGATCATGATCTTGATTACAAATGGGCTAAGTTCTGACAGTTTTGTAAAAACAAGAAACAGTTACGTTCTTGTTATTTCAAACTTTTTCCTAGTTTTCCGTTGTATTCACAGTAACGTATAGAGAGGAAGGGATGCAGATGTGACGGGAAACTGTGAAGAGGGAAAGCGTTCGCGTGAGTATTAGCGGGAAACTGAATGATAAATTGTCCCCCATAATCACGAGACTTTTCTCTTTTCGTCTCTGTGTACTCAATTGAATTTTGACAAACTCTGTATGAACGAACTATATATTTGATATGTCGCTTGGTAATACCAAAATATACAAAAAAACGAGTACGAATTTTTTTTTTTTTTTTTTTTTTTTTTGTTGACAATAAAGGACAGAACTTTTATCGTGCTTCCTCTTAGTTAAGAGTACAGTTTAACTTTTTATAACTCTACTAAATTTATGTCATCCGTCAACAAAAAACATTCACTGAATTTGCACCTAAGTTTCAGCTGTTTCAAACAGTTCTATAAAGCCTCCATCATGATTATCCCTGAACGCAGAGAAAAAAGGAAATAGATATGCACTATAAATACTTGGCAGGACTTATTACATTTGCTTTGAAATAAGAGTGAAAATAAGGACACGTTTATCAAATCTAGATTGTAGATCGTTCTGATTTTTTGTAATATTTGTTCTATTGAATAATTTTAGATTTTATGATTAGAATATATCGATTGAACTCCTTGCTCCATTTGCCGTTGATCAGGATTAATCAATAGTTATTCCCATTCGTCATTGTTCATCAAGGTGCATGGATATTATTGTTCAAACAATATTAGAGGATAAAGTAGTCTCAGTTAGACAGTTGAAATAGTAGGTAACAAAGTTGAGATCGACCTAACAGGATCCAACACCACATGGGGAAGAGGGGGAGGGAGGGAGAGAGGAGGTACTTATATGACACTTTATTCAATGTTGCAAGATGAGCCAGGTGTTATTAATATATCTTTCTAAACAGGGCGATAAGCTCACAATAGAAATATTTTACTGTAGTTCCCTAAGCCCTCGTCAAGATGTCTGGTACACAGTAAAGCCTAACATCTGACACTCTTTCTGAACAGGCTAAGCCTTTACAATGTGACAAGAAACGTTATGGACAGGGTAAACTTGTTAGTGTGGCATAGTGGTTTTGATACTACGAATTGCGCTTTGTTAAAGCCTATGTAAAACTCACATCCACGCCCTTGCACAAATATAATAGTTTTACCGCAAGCGTAAAGGGCCTTGGAGGTTATTTTGGCATATTTTGTTAGTTAGTCCACACTTTTGTTGCTGACAATGAATAACGTCTGAATATAGTATCAATATAAATCAATATAATGTGAGAAACTTTTAGGGCGGCCAAACACTTAATATCCTCTTAGCAAAACAGACGTGTTGATCGCCTTAAAATATTTTTCCAATATGGACGTAATGTGTTTTGTGGTGTTAATGTGCCAATATATAATGATATGTTAATTCATTTGGTTGATTCAAATTAGGCTTAATCTCTTAAGTAATTAAATTTTTAAATTTCTCGGAAATTGAAAGTACTTCATTTTTGGCCAGTACAGCCACTGTACTCATCGATCTTAATTACTGCAACATGAAGCACGAAGCAAGTGGGTGATAAATGAAAACACAAGCCACCACGCATTACAATTATTGTGCCATTTAATCCTCCTTCTACATACACAAATAGAAGCTTCTAGTTTACTCTGGTTCCATTATCTGTACTAGGTTTATTGATCCTATTATCGTCTTTCTTCTCGCGTAGATAAACAAGCCCAGAATCCTGTACCAGTAACCAGTCTCAGATAAGAGTACCTTAGCTTTAATCTATCAGTTTACAGCGCCGACTTGATTAGTTTATGTAATAAAAAACTGATCACAACACAGGAAACCCACAAAGAGCAAAGTCACTTTTCTAAAACAAGCAAAAAATGTATAGCCGGGTTCCCTGTGGCTTAATGAAGACAAATGAGCGTAAATGCTTTACGTCATCATGACATCATCACAAGTTAGTTTGTCGTCACTCATTTTCTATCTTAATTTCAGTCGATGTTTGGAGTGCGTCACGACGACTCGCGTCACTTGTTTAGTTTCCGTCATATTATTGCAAATAGCATCCCATGATTTAGACCTACGGCAAACCTCAAACTAACTATTAATTCAGTCGAATCTATTAATTTCGAAATAAGCTCATGGTTAGTTCGACGTTTGCCGAATTTACTTTCGACCCTTTTCAATAGGTTCGAGTCAAGCATGAATTTGGACGAACCAAGTTGGATATTACAACTCTGGAGCGACTGCGGCAAACGCAGTATTAAACACGCGCCAAACTAAATTCATAAATGATGCACATAAGTGAATGAATCATGCAAATCGTAGGAGTTTTACCAAAGATGTCAAAACAACCACTCCGATCCCCCACATCCCAAACACTTATTCCCCCCCCCCCCCCCCTCTTGGTATGTATGCGCTGTAAAAAGACGATTTCGAAAACGATTTCACTGGCGGGACTCAAACCAAACATTTTAAAAATTGTAAAATATATAAATGTTACTTTTTATTTAGTTGTATCAGCTTCAAGTCTTCAAGTCGGTCCCGTTCTAGACAGCTTATCTTTTAAGATTCAATCAGTATTGATGGTTTCCAACCATTCCCAAGAGAATTAAATAACAAAAGACACTTTCATTGCTTTCTTTCAAAAGCTTTCATTGACAATTCTTTTATTAAGTTTCTCCAACATGACCGCCGTGAAAACCATCAACTCACATCAACTCCAAAAAATATAATCGTGAAACGTTAGTTATACTAAATAGCACAATTTCATGCAAATTCCATTGTTTTCTACTGTTTAATTAGCACTATTTTGTACTATTTAGTAACTAGTGTTTCACGGATTTATTGTTTGCACTCTATTTAGGTACGGTACATATAACTGAGAATTGGGTCGCTCCAACTGGTAAATTTATGAAAATATTCAGAATAATTTTTTATTACTACTTTACCAAATTCGTATTAATACCTCAAAGTTTTATCTTAATTGATTGATATACTGGAAAATTTTCAACTGAGAGCGCTGAAGTTCACATATGAAACAACTGCAAATCCGAACAGCGGGCATTGGATTTGCATGGTGTTGATGATTATTCTTGTGCCCACGCATGGCATTTGATATTTTAACTGACACTAGTTTTGTCATTTCTTTTTATTTGCATATAATTTTTTCAGTGGATGTTTTAAAAAATTTTTTCCTCTGAATGCGTCTTACGGGATTAGAGGATAAGATCTTAGTTTTTATCCCACTTTTGAAGGTAGATAGTTTTTCAAAACGCGTCCCACATGGAAGGGAGTGATCACGGGTGCTTAGTCATCAGCCACGAAAAGTTTGCCCAGGGTTTGCTGGTCATAGCAAGGGGTTAATCATATACGGTCTAGGGGCCGACTAACCTCTCCCTTAGGCTTCGGCCGAGATTCCTGATCAGTTTGTAATTCCTCCCGGGATAGCGGTGTTGGGGTCGAAATCTCCAGCGTAGCCGTAAGTCCATACGACGGTTCAGCACTCGATGTCTGGAAGTATGGTCCTGGTTAATCATTCTCTAGCAGTTGAACTTAAAGTAAATCAATGTAAAAAGAACGAGAGGAATTCTAGGTGAGTATGGCTTTCAGTAAACGTTTTCTAGCTTGGTAGCACTTTTCTTCATTTAAAGGATGCACAAAGTAATCATTATCGTACAGAGCCAATTCAGTTGATGAATCCGCCGTCCTAGTTCGACATCTGATGTGAAAATGTGATTGGTACAGCTAAAGTACGATTTATCATTTGCCGACATAAATCAAAAGAATGGTCCGAAAAACGTACAGGCCACTTTTAATAACTGACTGAACCTGAAGCTGAATATTTTAAAGCGCGTTGACCGCTGACATGTAGCAAACAAACAAGGAAAGACTAAACTTTGAGAAATAAACTTTTTAACAACAAAAAGTAGTATTTAAATGCTTTCTTCTCCCTACTAAAATCCATGAATTTACTATGATTTTCTAAGGAGAAAAAACGTGTTGATCAGTGAATGACCTTCAAAGGGTTTTACCGGTACCAGAAGAACGCTTGAAAGAATCACTGTCGAGATTCTTTACGCCATGAATAACTAATGAGCTGCTGCTGCTATTTCTTGGACAGTTGAAAGGATCATTTCAATACCACTAAAGTACAAAATCTACCAAACAAGACTGAGAGAATTTGGTTCAAACACTCAAAGATAACAGTAACTCATTCATAGGACAATATCAATGGTGAGATAAAGCATATTTGTTCGTAATATTTGAGGTGAGCAATGACTTCTGATTTTGTTTTGGTTTTGTTGAAAGTAGCTGTTCATTTGAATACAGCCAGCCAAGTATCTAACAAATGAATGTTAAGAGCAAAATATATATTTCTACTGACTAAGGAAAAATCAGATATATTATAAAAATAGGTATTGAATCTTTCTTGATAGCCAAACGAAGCAATTCTTATGAACGCCGGATTAAAGTCATCCAAAGAGTTGATTCAAATGATGTTCGTCCCGGCAACGACCTGTTCAGTGGTGGCTGGATTATAAACGTCACCCTTCAGAGTCCTTAAGTTAAATACTCAGTGTCGCGTTGTTCTATTTTGCTAATACTTTATTACATGTATTAGTCCCTATATCGTTGAATATTAAGGGTAATTATCTGTCGGCCACATCACTGATATATTTTGCTAAGAGTAAAAAATAGCAAGGATGATGGTGAAAGTTCTATATACAGGTAAAAATGAAGATAAAAGAAACGCTGAAAAATTCCTGAGTATACTGGATCGTTAGAGGAGGATGTTTGACCAGTTGGACCATATGACAAATAATTTCATCAACTCCTGTTAGAAATACATACAAAGTTTTATTGTAAATATTAATATTTAGATAAAACACTGGGATTTATTATTACTATGCCAAACCGGCACACCGAAGAAGRATGGAATACCTTTACATTTTTACTGTTACAGTATTTCTATATTTTGATTACACGTATACATTGACAATTCCAAGTGAGTTTGAAAAAAGCCTTGATCAAATCTGAAACCAATTTAAAGCAACAAATCAGTTATTGATGGCTTCAGTTTTGTAAAGGTCGAATGACCGATTTGTTGTTGTGAGCTGAAAATTTCTTACGATTTAACACACGATTGCTCACGAGAGCAGAATCTGCATTTGGCAGGAATTTAGTCAGAATGAAGACTATTGCCTTGATGTTTTCACAATAACGTATTATAACCGCTAGAAAAACATCTGAAGTCTTTAAAATAGAACATCAAACTCAGTGAAATGAAATATATACCTTCAGTAACTTTGCTAAGATAATAATACTTAGGTGTATTATTGTTTGTCATATAGTCTTGCTACGTTCTTGCAAACTATCTGACAACGTTATAGCACAGTTACATTTACTACCACCGCCGCCACAATTCCTTGCACCCCTTTTAATTAGTTCATGCAGTTCATAAGCACCGGTAAGCTGTTCTCGCATATGGAAATACAACATTCGAAAGAAAATCCAAGATGTATTGGTATTGAATATAAAACGGCGCCATCTTGCAAACATTCTGTTTCGTAAGGGATATTATCAATCAAAAAACCAACGCACTGATGACAATGTGATACTATTCTAACGAGTTACTAATATTTTCCAGGCATCGAGCTGATCGAGATTCTGCTAGCCCAGCAGTCACGTGATCATGAGGCTACGGACGCTACTGAGTTTAACCCTTCTGGGGATTATGATCATTAAGTCTTTAGGTAAGTCTGGCCATAAGCAACGACTATAGACAGGGAACAAGGAACAACTGATTTTCAAGGGCTTCAGGTAAAATACTGTGATGGATTTGTGACGAATGTGAGTCCTCAAACATAACCGCTGACCTCTAACGGCCATCTTCTTTCCGCTGCTGCTGACCTTAATTTAAGATCAATAACTGAAGAACCATGTTGAAATTCTTATTTGAACAGGTGTCCCAATAGAAAGAGAATTACTGAGAGTAAAAAGAAAAGGAGAAATAGACGAAGAAAATGAAGAACATCTTCTTCAACGAAGAGAGCTAAAACCTTTAACTAGACACAAGAGAGACACTGTAGGTGAGCACAAGGCAACAGAAGATGAAACCCAAAATAGTCGAAGAAGACGCTTCAAGTCTGATCAGGAGAATATAGAAGAAGAAGGGGAGAACTATCCAAACAAAATGGCCGCCAGGTCTTCAAGGTCATCGAGGGAGGATAAAGATGTTACAGCACATGGGTTCGATAGATTTATACTCCCCAAAGATGATATTAAGGGAAATAAGCAACCAGCAAAAAGATCTATTGCCGCTTCCGGTTCTGGTCTTGAAAGTAACTTTGAGTCTTCAGCTTCCGGTATGTGGATATCAGATTCCGCTGCAAAAGACCTCTTGTCGGGGAAAAAAGATAACAAGCGAAGTGCAAGTTCATTGGAAAGCATAGTGGCCGCCCTGAGTGCGATAAAAACAGATCAGACAGCTGATTTCAATGGAGACAATGATGGCTCAGCATCTGGAGCTTGGGTCATTTCAGGCTCAGGTCAAGAGTTCAATACACCTGATGATGACCTGCCCAAGTTCTTTTCTGCTGCTGCTTCAAATTCACAATACCATGAGGTTGGTGAGACTATCTCGGGGTCAGGAAGTGGACATGAGGAAAATGATGTGGCTTCTAAGCAAGGTAATCTTATCTCAGACTTAGCAGAAGAAGTCCACCAGGACGAAAAGCCCAGCAACAAGAAGGAGTTCACTCAATCACCAGCAAAGCCACTCAACAATGAAACTAAATCAATTAAAATACACAAGAGGGACATTCTTGAGCAATTTTTTGGAGAAAATCATAAAGATGTCCTCTCCAGAAGCAGAAGAGAGCAAGATGATAAGAACGTTAAGGAAGGATTTACATCATTTTTCAGGAACAGTCCAAATAAGATCACCAGTGAAGCAGATCTGCCCCTGATAAAACATGAGCCACCACCAATCCCCGCTGTAAGATCAGCTAAGGGAGGTTCCAAGATCAGCCAGAAAAGTGGCTCCTTGGAAACGGTTAATGTAGGCGAAGGGCTTACGGGGCTGAGCTTGGTGCGACGATTCTATCGAGATCAAAATATGGAACAAACTGGCCAGACAAGAAAAGTTCTTCCAAAACCAGAACATATTCTTAAAGACGTGGAAGCAAAGAAATATCCAATCACGAAAAAGACAGAGAAGAAAGTCATTTCAAACCACAAGGTAACAAAGAACAATCCATTTGAAGCCCGCGTAGTACACACGAAGCAACTCCCCAAAGCCCACGTTACTATCATAGAAGAACCAGCGGTGTATACAAAAAACGAAGAAGAGGGAATGGACTCTAGTGATGGCGGAATGAATGAAGATGAATCTGATGAGTCTGAACCAACTATTGAAATACATGAGAGAGACATCAGAGAAGATGGTAAGGATAGTTATATTCAGTTCATGATTTGATTTCTAATTGGTTGAATCGATCACCCCCAACAAAAGTAGTCGAACAAGCCAAAAGCCAGTTCAAGAACTAGACATAAACTAGACATTTCGAGATATGAAAATGTTCGTTTCGTTTTAGTATTTTCCATCGGAAATTGAGTTTAAATAAAGCCGACTATTTAACGAGTAAGACTGAACAGAACCATGGGAAGCTAGCCGTGTGTTTTGATTCTCATTCACTACTTCACTGGAAAAAATCGTGCACGCCCCAAATGATGGAAACATGTTGGGAATGCCGACTTCCAACGTATTTCCATGCCATGGAATTGTCCAAAACTTGGAGAAATGACTTTCAATTATTCTTCCAATACATTTCCCACATATTTCCATCACCTCAAATCCTGTTTCTGATCTATTATAACACTTCTGTTTCCAAGGTTACGTTGGTTGTTTTGCCGACCAGTCTCCAGACCGAGATTTACCATTTGCGTTATCTGTACGAGATCTCACCCCGACTACCTGCCGACTCGCATGTAAGAAGGCTCAACACGCATACGCTGGTCTTCAATATGGCTACCTCTGCCGATGTGGCGATTCCTACGGGAAATACACTAGACTGGGAGAAGACCAATGCAGCACGGCTTGTAAGGGAGATGGAACTCAGATCTGCGGAGGATTCTTTAGAAGTTCTATCTATGCCACAGGTATACCCTGGCTTCTTGATTTCTTTTCTTTTTACATATTATTAAAGCTTGTTGTCATTTCATTTTATAAACAGATGGTGTCACCGAACCAACACAGGGAGATTTTTTCCACGTTGAGAGCGTTCGACCACTTAACGCAGGTAAACATTTTATCTATCATAGTTATTCCTTTTTGCTTTCGTTACAGGTTAACTTTTTTTAATTAGTTCCGAGTCCGTCCGTCTAAAGTTCATTAAACTAAGATAATCTATATTCAAGTTTGGTACGCAGTTAACCAGCTGCAAATCCTCGTGACGTCCCAGTCCGTAACGTAGCGACGCCAAAGACGTCACAATTACCATTGAAACAAGCTTAGTCAGAGTTTTGTGATATTAATTGAACTGAGTGGAGTGCAATTTGTTAATCACAAGTATGATTTTGGTCCAAAATTTCACGACACGAAGTTCAATTACCACTTAATCATATCCTTTTTGTAATCATACACAAGAAAAAGACACAATAAATAGTGCAGAATAATCAATTTAATGTAGAAGAAGAAGTAAATCAATCAGGTTTTTTCCTGGTATAAAATAAACGATTTATCAGCAAATCATTAAATATCCATAAATAATGGTTATCATTCTCTTCTCTGATTGGCTGAATATAAGAATTCTGTTCTGTGATTGGTTCTTTAAAAAAGATGCGATTAAGAGCTCCTAAGGATGCGATTTGGGAATTAATCGCACTCCTATGAACCAATCAGATTGCAGGATTTGGTAGTGATTACAAAAAGGATATGATTAAGACTGAAATTATCTGAGTGAGACAATAATCTATAATACGGGACAACTCGATAAATAAAGCAACTCTTTTCTCTTTTAGTTATCAATAAACCTTCGAGCACTACAAATTACATGCCACAAGAGACAGCTTACCCTTCACTCGTCCCCTACCGTAAGCCAAACCAATTCCCGTATAACGACCCGGTGGTACAGTTTGCCCCTTCTGTCCAAGCCCCTACGTATTTTAGCCCAGATGAGCCAAAAGTCGTAATCCATTCAGAAACACCGTTACCGGAGTACCAGGCAAAGCCTCCACCCGCAGTAGTTAAAGCTAATGTGGTTAACATTCCTGTTCAAAGTCTCCGTTACATTCCAAGTGTTATTGGAAACATGGAACAACAACAACAACAGCAGTACAAGAAGTCTACTATCGCTAGACCACCAGCTCCCAAGGTAACACCTCAGGGAGCCCGCGTTGGTAAACTACACTACCTCCATCAACAACATGGCGTAGCACCAAAACCAAAACCACAATTTGAGCCGTTCAGTCAATTGGATATAACACCTGGAAGTAAGTAATGCAATTGTCCTAATTCTGTAGTTTTTGGGAAATATGAGTCATTATAAGAAAGAGGTAGCGTGTTTGGGACAGGAAGTTTGCTAGAGACGTAAAAACTGTCCGACAAAACAATTTTTCATTATCAATCTGATATCTCTTTATCTCATAAACTGGATCGATTTTTTTCAACAGTGAAAACCTTTACTGGTACTATAAAGCTAAAACAAAGCTGGCTGGATGGCCTACAGAACGATCAAAGCCCGGAGTTCAAGATATTATCTGGCAATATCGAACAAGCGGTGAGAAAGAGTGCATGTATATATTTTATTTACTGAAAAAGATAAAATACGTTCTATCCAATGAAGCTTAAACACTTATAATTGGCTTATTTTCAGTTTAAAAAAATGTTTGAAAAGGATCCAAACTTCATCAAAGTTAAAGTCCTTGGATTCAAGTAAGTGACCAATCAGCAAGCACGATTATGAAACCCACATCAGCCGTACTCATTTATGCTGTTGGTGTTTTTTCATAGTAAAGGGTTGGTCAAACACAATCCAGCTACCATAAGAAAGGTTGTTGCACCGTTCGTTCTCACGTTCAAAAAAGATACAGTTGGCGTTGAGAACAAAGTCAGTAAGGCTATCCAGGACACAGGAAAACTGTTTGACATGCCAGTATACAAGAAGTCTATTCATATACAAGGTAAATGTACTCTATTATCTGTCTTAGGAAGCATTCATTTCTTGGAAGGGAGGGGGAGGGGGTGCGGAGGAATTAAAGAGTGTCATCACAAATTTACATAGCGACAAGCTAGCGAGGCCACTTTGATTGTTTCTGGATATAATCAGTTTATTATTATTTTATCGGTAAAGTTTTAGAGAACCATTTTCAAAGTTCAAAACTAAGCTGTGGTGCTCACTCAGACAAATTGGGCACGTAGAAGAAACCTTTTGATTTTGATAACATACCTACATACAACATACTCAATCTACATTGGGCACATATTTACAGCTATTCCTTCGGCCCTCTACCCCTTCTACAAAGAAAAAAATTATCTTACTCATGCCTCTCCATCGTTGTCTTCTTTATATAGCTATTACAAGAAGTCATAATACAAATTCGTATAGCAGGGTCTAACAATACTCTCTCATGTACATACAAGTTCAGAAAGATAAAGCATTAATTCTAGGCTGTAAAATAAGATTCAAATGTGTCCATGGCAGCCTCAGTCGATAGACCGATAGACCTCTTTACATTCCATATTCATGTGTCCTCTCAAATAAAACACGTGGCCTCAAATGTGGGCAAAACATTAAGACCATGAGGTGAAGAGGTCTATAGATACCTTGCAGCCATTGGAATACAGTTCAATTTGGAGGATATAACAATAGGTTTCCAATTCTTAGGAGATTGAAAATATATTGTTTTGTCCTCCGGCAAACTGAGCTGCTTTGACGTCACGTGAAGGGGTCTTTTGAATACTTTCTCGGCAATTTACATTAATTAGTACAATAACCGAGGAACCTTATTGAGTGACCCTGCTTATGGAGGCTTTACACCATCACGTGATGGCAGCCATGACAAGAGGCAGGAACAATTGAATCTGGTCTAATCTGATTTTCATGAGAATAAATTCATCCTGCCATTGCTGCCATCACATGATGGTGCAAAGCCTATATATTGTATAGGGCCAATAGCGATACACAATGAGTAGGTCATGTCGCACAAATTCATTGACACCAATACTAATGGCAAAAATCCAATTACAAAACAGAATACCACAAAGCACCAAGACCATCGGTGACCAAGGACAAAATTATAGCAAGAAAAGAAGTAAAAACCGAGACAAAACGAAGCAGCACCACTCAACCAAGTAAGAACAGTTAGTAACAACCCCAGATTGCAATCATTACCATAAACGTTTTTTTAAAACACCGCTAGAACCTTTCACTTTAGCACTGTGATGTGGAAGACCACGTGGGGCGATTACCATTTAAACCGATCCATCCGGTTAGAAATTCATTTCAGTGCTAACAGTAACAAGACGATAGAGCAGGAAACTTTAACTTTTGACAGATGCTACATTCGCGCATCCCGGAAGAACCAAAAAGTAAGGGAAAAGTAATTGATTTCTTCAATCGGAAGACCGAGTTTTCCGGAACCGATTGGTTTTCCAACATAAATTTCCGGTTTTTCCGGGTAAATTCGCAGTTTTCAGCGCCACGTTTTATTCCTTTGAAAATGATACCTTTGTTTTCCCTCTTCAGTTGGGCCACATAATGTGATTAATGTCACTCAAACGTACAAAACGTACGGCCTTATTCTCATGAATGGTTTGGAAATAATAACGAATAATTTGTTGTCCTCAAGAGTTGTGTTATTTTTTTCAGTATTCTTGGTAAGTTGTTTGATAGTCTTTATTGTTGACACTTATGTTTTGTATCCACAGAGGTTCCTTACACGCTTGAACTGTTCCTGATGAGGGATCCCACCAAGATAAAAAGGAGCACACATCCTGAAAAACAATAGAATCCTGTGCTCTGATTGGCTGAGCGTCCATGGTCTAATAGCAATAGACCACTAGTAGCAAAAAGTGCCGGCTTTGAAAACTAAAATAATGGCAGCTAGGTTCGCGTTTTCAGACTAATTTCAAAATTGTTTGTATCCATTTATTTGAATGATTAGAATTAGACCTCTCGGCGCCCCCGTGGTCTACGAGTCAATAGCCCATTCAATTTTATGTTATATATCCAAAAAATTGATTATAAATATATATGTACAATAATGAAATGAATAGAATGGAAGTAGAAAGTGTATGTATATTAATCAGTAGTGAGATTTTAATTCGATGTTCAGCTAAAAGTTCCAGTTTAAGAAGCAAATAAAATTACAGTATTAATAACCAATAAAGTTTTATTTGTATTTAATAATATCTCTACAGCGACAAGCGAATTATTTACAGTTATCGCATATCTTCGTCCCATTTTTTGGTTTTTCACTCCAACGAAAGACAGTTCTAAACTTTTTTATATAGTGTTGAAATTTCCTTCTTATTCACGCTTGTAATATACACCTATTATAGAAATCGTTGTGGCGCCAAAAGCCTCAAGCAACAAGCCAAGACCGCGGAGAACGCCGGTACTTTTAGCTGTAATTAGTTTATTCATGGTGCATTTTCATTTATTGACTTCACAAATTGCTCCAAGCAAGGCTGCTTGAGATGATAATTAGTGGAGAGCTATAGCCACTTGCATGAACCATGAATAAATCAATTATAATTAAAAGTACCGACGTTCTCTGGAGCCTTGTTACTTGAGGCTCTTGGTGCGACAACGATTTTCGAAATAGGTGTATAAGGATTCTTCGTTATCACTTTGGGAATGACACGTGGTCTGAAATGGGAAAAGATGAAAGAGCTACTACAATACTGTGTCCACTGTCTTTCACCATGGTGTAGTATCGTGCGTATACCGTAGAATTCCAGTTATAAGCTCTAAGCTGTTACAACTTTATAAGGGTAACTGTATGAAAGAACTACTACAATACTGTGTCCACTGTCTTTAAACAGCGTAGCATGGTACTTATACTGTAGAATTCCAGTTATGAGCTCTTAGCTGATACTTTATAAGGGTTTTTGTTTTGGGTGGGTTTATGATCGGGGAGGTCTATAACCAGGGCGGGCGCGGCTAATAAAAGGGAGGGGAAAATTCGTTCTATCAAAAGTGTACCAGATTGCTACAGGACTGCATGGTGGTACCTCATTAGCTCTGGTTTATTAAATTTTATAAGGGTTTTTAGGGTGGGGTTAGTTTAATGGATGGTGGGCTTATAATCGGGGGGGTTATAATAAGAGGGACTTATAACTGGGATACTACCGAGGTTCACTATGATTTGCAATATTTTGCTATCATGATCTGGGATCTGATAGAAAACACAAGCACATGTGATCTTTACTAAGAATGACTAAACTGTTGCCATCAGGATGCCAACGAAGAGAGGTTGCTTGAAACACATCTAGAAAAGATATAACACTGATCAACAACTATCCTACACAATCTTGACTTATCATAAAATCGTAACACAAAAAAACGAAGGTACTGTACGTTATTTGTTTGGGGTGGGAGTTAATGGGAGGGATTCGCAGTAAATAGTTGCACTCTTCTTCTTTCACTTTGTAACAAATTCATTACCCTCCTACTAAGTCAAAAGTTCGAAGTTTTACTGCTGACCGCCCTCCCCTCCNCCCCCCCCCGATAAAATCGTACCTTCCCTAAAAGGCTTGATATCTCTGTACATTTCAAAACCTTTTTGTATCATCTATAAATGGCGTTTATATCAGTGAGAAATCATGAGCTCTCGGGTCAACCATTTCAAAGTATGCTTTTATTCTTGGGGTGCATGTTACGTCATAGTCACCATATTAGTTGATGATAACAAAGCATTCCTTATTAGCTTTTCTTGTTAGATCAATAAAAATGGCGGCTGTTTCATTGCTATATATATTTCAAGGAATTTTGAGTCATGTGGTTGCACCCCAAGAATAGTCATGTTGGATAATGTTGCTTACTTTCAGAAGGAATGATGACAGACACACAGCCAGCCGGTGACCACATGTACAGTTTATTATTATTAGTGCAGACAGCTAGACGAGGTTGGAGAGGATCCCACTGGATAGCTGCATATCAATTAAAAAGGATAGGAATATATCTCAGACATTTAAAGTGCATATAGTCGGCTGGAAAAGATATAACTGACCTCTAATAGGGTTGGCTTGCAGTAGTAGGACAGCTAAGCACAAGTTTGGAACATCCCAGATCCATAATGCATTAGGCATGTTATCTGAAAAACAGCAGTGATTTCAGTAGATCAGCTAGAATTGATTGCTTCCGGAGCCGAGCAATTTAAAGCCAATAGACAGACAGATGAAGTGAGGAAATGACCACTTTCCATGCAACACTTCACTGTTTAGTAATAACATAAATAATTCCGATGATGATAACAATTTTGATGATGATGATAATGATGATGATGTTAGCGCTATTTATCTATACACGATGTACTACTGCATCATAGCAGATGTGGTCGTGTCTACATATCTAATATTAAATTACAAACTAACTATTCAATCATTTTAATGCAAACCATTCAATCGAAGCTACAGGGTGATTTCAAATAATTATTCAAACATCTACCTTGCAACCTCGGTTAAATGCTTCATGTTTCACTATTAAACAGGTTATTGAAAGTGGTCAATGAGACATTGAAAAGAAGACAGGTCATGAGAGAGGAAAGAGGGATGATATAGTTGTTTATTACCATTTTTTGTTGCCATGTATTTGTTGTCATTGCTGAATGATACATGTCCAACACCAAGTCTGGGGTTGTGTTTCTCTGGATCAACTTTTACCGTAGGAACTTGAATGGGCACCTTCTCTATTTGATCTAAAATATAGAATTGATAACTGATTTAAGACAGATAGGACTTTTTTTCATATTCATCTACATTTTGATTGACTTTAGAAATATCTGTAAATTCAACATTTCCAGGTAACCCTGGTAGTGAGAAAAGGTTATCGGGATTTACATGTATAGAAACGTACACTCATATCATCGCTAATGACTCCATTCAAAACATTTCATTTCTATTATGATTCATATATTTAATGATTATGATTAGGATTATGATTATGATGGTTGATATAGTGCCCTAATTCCATATAGATCTCATCGATATCATGAGTCATAAATTTAGGTGGTTAGTATGAGGAGTAGGCACTGAGAGGAGTCACTGCCAGGGTTTCTTTACATCCTCAGTGGTTCTTTTACRTYCCWCCGATATTGGTTAGTAATGATGAAGTGTGGAGAGACGGGACTGCCATTTAAGGTAGTCATCCGAGCCACTTGAAAGTCTAACCATTTATAGATGTAAATATGAAGGTAACACCTTCTCCTCAGTTATCTTAAAAACCTAAGTGTTGGTCTGGCCAAGACTTGAACCTCCCACATGCCAATCATATGCTCAACCAACTAGCAAACTGGATGGTGGTAACTGAATGAATGTTTCAAAAGGAGTGCAAGATTTCTGAGGGAAAATAGAAAGGTCTAAAACGTACATTTGCTTTGTATGGAGAATCCACCAGAAGGAAGAATCTCCCCTTGTAATAATGGAGGTTTGACTTCTACTTCCTTGTAGACCACCTAATAAAATAAACAAAAATACAGTAGTATACATGTTCCTCTATTAAGTTAATTACATTTTATCAAACAAACAGTTGCATGAGTCCCAAAATTTTCTTCCCACAAGGTTGCATGTGTACCACCCACTTCATGTCCAGTGAGGAAGCCCTCGAAATGAATGAGCCCTAGATCCCTAGATCTGCTTCCCCCTGGACCACATCAAGAACAATAACATTAAGTCATTATTAAAAAGTAGCAACTCTTACCACAGTGTCTGAATCAAGGGAGTGTGGATGTTGATGTTCTGCCACGACTTTCCAGGTTATATGGTTGAGCACACGACACTAAAGTGCGATTGAAAGCTCATGTCATTAAGAATATAATCAATTAACCTGAGAAATAGATAAGATTCAATGTCTTTAGCTTCTCCTAACCAAATAATCACCTTTTGATCGTAACTACCAATGGCCAAGAACTGACTTGAAGGTGACCAACAAACTGTTTTAATTCCCAAAGCATAGTCATATGCACTGTAAGACGACAGACATCTTCCATCTACTGAATACAGGTACAGCTTGTACTAGTAAATGTAAATGTAATAGTGTTTATTAACGATTTGGCATTTAATGTTATTCATCAGGGTTCATATGCAATAAGATGAAAAATAACAATTTCACTTAAATTTCATGATTTTTTTACATACAGTAGTAACTTATAAATATTAAGCAACCTTTGGGAAATTCTTTTGAAGCATATTTCCATTTTCGTTTTTTTTTTTTTTTTTTAACTGGAACACAGATGGTGTGGCAGTGAGAGAGCTCGCCTTTCACCAAGGCGACACAGATGTCGCATGTGAGTAGAAATGTTTGTTGGTTCTCTCCTGTGCTTCAAGGGTTTTTTCTTCAGGTTATCTGTTTTTTCCTTCCTCCTTCAAAATCAACTTCTAAATTCTAATTATAAAAATAAAATAGCTTGGGTTTCTTTTAATTATTCTCTTCAAGAACACAGAGGTTAGTTTTGAGATATCAAGTGTTGCTTGTAGTCCAGAAAACCATTTAAACACCTCAATTATTTGTGTTAGATGCATGCCCATAACTCCATTTGGTTTTGGAATGATCTATCACCATTTCCTTTGGTAACAGGGCCGGGTTGTTCAAAGCTGGATTAGCGCTAATCCAGGATTAACTCTATAGGTCTTATTAAGAGTTAACCCAGGATTAGCACTAATCAGGCTTTGAACAACTGGGCCCAGGTGCATACAATATTTTGTCTGCACTGTTCTAGTTCTCTGCTACTTACATGAATAATAGCATCCCAGACACAGAGAACCCTGCCATCTGGAGACCATAAAACATTAGCAAGATCTTTTGTCTCAACTTCAAAATGCTAGAAATAGACCAGGAAAACAAAGGTGTTACAACTCTGGTAAAAAATATAACTAAAAATAATAGTTGTAGAAATTACTTAATATCATTTTGTAAAAAAGATTATTAGCAGATACTGTACAGTAGTCATTGAGGTAGTGGGTCTATTTGAGATTTGACTGCCTTGTCATTGTAAATGTTCATACAGATCAGCCACTAATATTGCATATATTTGTAGTTAAAGGGGGTCTAGCATGAAAATCATCTGAAACAACTGAAACTTTAATGTAATAACTCTTACAGGTCTAATAATCACTGGTTGAAGTTTTTTCCTGATATTCGGATGGCAAGTATTATATTTTTGCAAATTTGTATAGGAGTCTGTGACATCATACACTGAACAACTATTTGTAGTCTTCAATTAAATAACTAACTGACTGTATACCTTGAGTAGCTGCCAAGTATCACATGCAAAAATGCTAACAAAATCTTTACAGTTGCGTCTTTCAGCCAAAGCCATGTACTTGCCATCTCTGCTAAAATCCAGGCCTAGAACGATATAATCATATCATGAGCATATAACATTTTATTATATACTTAGGAGAGTATGCGCAAACTGATTGGTCAAAAACTGTGCTTTATTAGTGAACGAAGCACAGTAATGACGCTATCCGCATGCGCAAAGTGCTACTAGGTCCTATGACCGTCTTTCTTTTTGCGTAATTAAATTCAATACCAAAATAGAATTAATAACCAAATAATAAATCAAATAAAACAGCTTTTTCTGTGCTCTGTTTAGTGATAAAAAGCACTTAGAAAGCCTTGTACAAGCACAACAATGCCTACAACTCATGCTTCTCCTTACACTTCTTTCATGCTCACGTCACTTCCTGTGTGCTTGATTACTGAACCGGCGCACGGAAAAAGCTGTTTTATTTGTTAAATATTTACTCTGTATCTTTGAGCTAATTAAATTTAACTTGCATCAAATCCAGACTTTTTCTTTGGTTAAAAAGTCCAGATGTCAACGCAATTAAATAAATAGGAACCACAAACCTTCTGTTGCATGTTTTGGATATTTTATATAACTGACTGACTTGCTAACAAGTGACCAGATTGTGATTCTAAGCTGCAACAAAGTTTCAACATAGCAATTATTAGTAAATATTACAAGCTATTTATAGTTCCTCAGTCATCCTTGAAAGTTGATAATATATTCACAAAATCATTAAAAATTCATAAGCTTGACAACCAAATCAATCAAAACTTTGTACTGTATTTGGTCAGGTGTATGAGTCTTGAAACTGGAACAAACACTGATCAACACATGGAAGATAGCCAATCAGAGACCAGAGCAAGATCCATGTGAAATCTTAATTTGAATTTCTACACTTTCTATATTACCTTAGAATAATGTAATAAATAATACTATAGAAGTTTTTTTATATTAAATACTGTCTACGTCCCTCTTTCCTGACACTATGCCACCTTAAGATAAAGTACTTAGACTTAATACTTACTTTTTAGACTTAAAACTAGAGTAAAAGATTTAATTGCTTTTACAAAATCTATAATTGGCCCTTTCCATCTTTCTTTATCACTATGCCCTATGCTACCTGTACATGACTCAATTTGTTGAATGAGCAAGAATGAAGTTTTGAAACTTTTATGAGCAATCTTTAAGTGGTCACTATATACAATATATAAATCATACACTGTAATACTTAATAAAAAGTGTACACAAATTTCTGTTTTTCTTTTATGAATAAAAATAAGTTTGAAAAGCTACAAACATGTTTGCTACATGTTTCTCCTCCAAGATATACAGTAGATTTTATCAGCTTCTCACTGCTTGGAGGGTCCGTGTAACACTCCACAAAGAGCTTTTCAATTTAGTTGGCGTGAATTGGACATATGAAATTTGCCTGATTTTTGAATTTTCATTTTTTATGATCATGTCAAAATTCGAA